TTTGCTAATACGTCTCCCGGGGAGCCAGCCGTCTACCCGGCCGACGGGAGTGATGAGTCGAATCGTTCCCTCCTTCCCGGAACGAGTGTTGCCGGGAGGGCTTCTTTCCTGGCTGTCGTGGTTGCTCAACTTGTTGAGACACATACTACTCCTTTGGGATCCGTTTTTGCTGGTATGTCTCCCTTTGTACCGTCAAGAGGACTCTTCCAAGTCTCTGGGAGTGAGGTGACTCGAATGCACGAGCTCCGCCTCCTGCAGCATCAGCCTCCGGAATCCTTGAGCCAGAACTTCTAGAGTGTGGGTTGTTTCCTGGGGCACCTGCACCCCAACGTCAAGCTATGTCGGGTTCGTGCGCAGAGCTCGACATGGCTCTCCTCCTTGCCGGTCACGGGCGGATTTGCCATTAGCAGTTTAGCACGCAAAAGGTCTATGGCATCTTCATGTTCAACTTGTCGTTCTTGGAGCGTACAAGTGCATAACGTGCAAGGACACATCATTTTCCGTGCTCCGCTGGGACAGTACGGCCATGCGCGGTGATAGGAGTTTCACATCCTTTCTACCTTGTGATTGAGTCAATCTATCAAAAATAAAAATCAAATAAAAAAAAGTTCGGCCAGTTTGAAGCCTCCTAAATCAGATTAAAGACTTCCTGGGCTAATTTTGACTAGGTCAATATTTTGCAATCATCTCCTTCTTCAGGTCTCCCCTGTGTTGTACGTATTGGACAGAGCCTTCCACTCCCCTTCCACTAGGGCTGTTGTGTAAGGAAGAAAAGAAGGCTAAGTTCCAAATTCATCCTGGTTGAGGCTTAGCCGGATCTGACGCGTTCAGGGCGCCCTCGGTTCTGGTCGTTGATAGGCGGAGGCAGTGCTCTACTTCACCGCTCTCCAGGAGATGGCGGCACCTCAAGTTGTATAGCGACTGCGGCACCTCAGATTGGGTATTGCGACGATGGCACCTATTGATGCGAGCTCAGAGACCATCGCAGCGACAATGCAAAAGGAAGCTACGGCCTTGAATCTGCTTCGCCGGACCTCAAGTGGCCGTTAATGGCGGATAACCATGGCAGCTTATCCTCGAGCGGGCGTTGCAGCGGCGGAGCGACAGCGAACAAGCCTGGCAGACCCCGGCGGCAGAGTGACCAGGAACGAGGATGGCACTGGATTGGTGGGCTGGGTGCTATGTAGCGCAGCGGCGGACTGTGATTGACGCCGTGCATTGAGACCCGGAGCGGCAACGGCCTGGACGGTCCTCTCACGTGGATCGGATCGGGATGAACGAGCTTCGAGCCTCGCCTGTGAGCATTGCTCCATGACGGATGTGGAGCTTTCTGCTATGTAGCCATGTGGCCGAAGAAGGATGAGGTTCTTCTCCCTTCCAGGATCATGGATGTACCCATCTAAATCCGTAAACTTCCATCCAATATGTAGTTTTTGAGAAATCGTTCCTCAACGTTGCTGAAATTTGAGATGATTTTGGTATAATTTTGGAATAAATTTCACTTTTTCTGCTCCAATTTCTTCGAGTTTCTACCGATAATATGAGAGAAAGCTCTCAATGAAAGCACCAATGTTGGTAGAAAATATCCCGGGTAGAGAAACTGGCAGCATTTTAGTATAGTAAAATAGCGTCGAGAATACATGGGGTGATGGCCTATTTATAGGCATCCATCACAAGTCCAAAGTCTAACCTACGTGGGCTTGGCCCAAATACATAATACATGTCCAAGCTAATGGGCGAACCAGCCCGATAAATAAGTAAATGAGCAAGGGGCGATTCCCGCTCGTGAGACTGCGTCTTGGGCCTAGTTGGGCCAAAGCTCGGGGATAACGGGCCGATGGCACTGGGCCTGGTCTATTATCCCAACAATATATTAAGAAATATTAAATTGAGAAGTCTCAATTTCATGTTCTAATATGTTGATTAATGAAGTAATCTTATGTGATTATGGTTCCAACTATATGTAAGTGACATATAGCATTACGGAAAAATATGATCACATAAGATGTAAAAACATAATATGATCTTAATTCATACTATATGTGTCTAGCATATTGCTTTACGGAAAGTATAATCATATAAAATGTATAAAAATAAAATTAATCGTGTGATTTTTGATTCCAACTATATGTATATGGCATATAGCTTTACCGAAAGGTATAATCACATGGATGTATAAAAATGAAAAGGGATGCATTGATTCCAACTATATGATTATAACATATAGCATTACGGAAAAATATTGCATCTATCTCTAAAAAAATGGATGATACGACTTAATCTAGAAAAAATCAATGATGTTCATCACAATAGTAAACATGATGTAATAAATCATATGCATAAGGTTCTACAATGATTTTGAGTAAAGCAAATACCTCAAAAGAGATCCGAGAATCGGAGAGTCGCAGGCTAGGAAGGGGGGGAGGCCGCGGCTAGACCGTTGGCGGCGTGGCTGGATTGCTGGCGGCGCGGCTGGACTGCTGGAGGCGCGGCTGCGGATTGAGTGTAGGGAGAATGGGAGAAAAAAGTAGGTTTAGTGCTACGTGCTGATAACGTGTTGTAGGGAAGTGAGAGTGGTGTTCATTCCATTAGTAAGCCCCCTTTAAATAGGAGTGATTAGGGTTTTACAAGGAGTGGGCCAATGGGCCAATTAGCTCAATACATATAATCCCTAGGTACACTTTCTATCTATAACGAATGCACATTAAAGTAATTTCCTTCAACAAAAATGACTTTTTATATAAAGTTTAGGGTATTTAAATTATATATGAAAGTTTGGGGTGTTTATCTCACACCTCTTCAAAGTTTGGGGTATTTTAATTATTTTTCTCTAGAAACTATGATGCATGCGCATGATAATTGTGGGACCGCACCCAAACGAACTTGAATTTTAAATTTAAATATTTAATCTTTATATTCGAATCTCCTATGTATTGATTGTGTGAAAGATGATGATGAATTTAATTAATAAATGATTAATTAAATTATTTATCAGGCTCAAAATATTTGGAAGGACTACCAAATATTTAGTTGGGTACGGCCATCTTACAAATTATAGGAGCCCAACATAATGTATAATAAGACATGGAAAGCTACTGGATAACCCAAGTGCTATTTTGAACCAACTTGTTAAATACAACAATAATAATAGGGAGAAACTTCCTACATCCACTTGGGGAAACTCTACAAATAGTAGGGAAGGGGCAACAAATGAGTGTTAGGAACAAACTCATGGGTAAAGGATGACACAAGACAAATGCACACACTCTTTATGACCCTATCTATGCATGATTTGTTCCTTGATTGAGTTAGGATGCCTTCCCCTTTCATTCTCCATCATTCGAACCACAGGAGAGACAAATAAGGGATTGAGAATAGCTCCTAGAAAGAGAATAGGAAACCCAAAAGAAAATAGCAAGAATTCAAGGTAAGAATCAAACTAGTTCTCTTTAATTTTGTTCATATGATTTTTAAGAAATCATATGGAGGGTTAAACAAGAGGTTCTATACGCTTAAATGTGTAGAATATTGATATAAAGAGTTGGTATTTAACTTAGAGGATTTGTCGAATCAATATGAGTTAAAATCGTCGAAAACCGCCACTTATAAAGAGAGGCCTTCTCAAACTCTAGAAGCAAAAGTTGCACAACTTTCACTCAATGTCCAACTAGTTCATTTTTCTTTCGGCCTTCAATGGGGGTTGACCAAGGGGTTTGGCAAGGATAACTAGTTAAGCACTCCATAAGGTGATGGCGACTGATTATATTGCTTATATTAGTGGGTTGATTTCGATTATTAGATTACCTAAGTTGTTTAAATATGATTTTCTTGGATTATTATGGTTTAATAATATCAATTAATAAAGATGAAGAGACTATTGTCCATGAAAGAAAAGAAACATGATATATGAAATTAGAGGTAGTCCATGCATGATTATACATATGTATGGTGATTATGATGATAGAACAAGAATTCAACTTGAGCTGAAAAAGATAAAAAGACATTCTTATCTACAGAAGGAGCACACTAAGATCATTGATCGTAAAACTCAATTCATCAAAATTTGATCTATAGTTCATATGTGAGTGAAAAGAAATGCAATAAAGAGACACTCAAATGTGGTGAGGACGCCTTTCTTAACAAACAAATGTAAGAGAAGTAGATGAAAAATGATTTTTATTCCATGATTCCATGATTTTTATGAATATATGCATATAGATGAAAAATGGTTCAAGGAAAATGAACATGTCATCATACACCCTCATGAAATCAACCCCTATAGAGCAGTAGAGTTTCATTCCTAAAGTCATGTTTCTAGCTATGATTGAAGACCTACAATAATAGATAGTGGGGATGTTCTATGAGATGACAAGATTGAAAATTTTATTTTCTCTTTTCAAGACACATGACAAAGAAACAAGAAATATGGCAAAATGAAGACATTGCTTACTAAGCGAATCACAAATATCACAAGAAAGATAATCAAACAATTCATGATTGAAAGAATGATGCCAGCAATAAAAAAGAACACTACAAAGAGAAACAAAAAACACACCATACAAAAAATTGTTTTTTTCTACTCATTTATTTTTGAAATACACCACTTTAAACTTCAAAGAGAAACTTACGAATGTATTTGACAATTGTTTCAACAAAAAAATTCACGCAAATTATATCCTCGGATGGTTTGATTTCAATAACCATATCATTGGATTGACCATTTCTTTTACATCTCATATAATACCAGTTTCTTTTTATAGGGAGTAACAGATTTGTCTAAGAACAACTTCGCATTTTATATCCTCAAATCAGTTGTAGTGGTAAATGTCACAATTTGGGGATAACAAAAGAAATCAAGAAATCAAGACCGATCAAGGTTTATGATTTTGGATTATGTATCGACCAAACCGACAAAAAAAAACGATCTAAATGTGCTAAAACGGACCACAATCGATGCCAACCGATCACAATCCGCCGAAACTAAAATCAAACCGATAAAACCGAAACTGAAGAACACACCCAATCACAATTATCCCTATTTTGACATTAAGTAGAGATGTAATTTGAAATATAAAATAAAACTCTCTGTTTCTGGAAGGAGTATACAAATAAAAATAATAATATGATTAAAATACTGTGTAAAAATATGTTTTTTTTTTTTGTATAGCAACAAAGAATCGATGTTGGGTTGAGGAGCAACATGCTCTGGAAGAGAAGAGTGTAGGAGGGAGACGCACAATCAGCTACTTCATGTCTCAAATTACACGTTACAATAATACAATGTGTGCAGGAAATCAAACGGAGCACTCATCCGAGCCTTCAGCGAGCCACTGCCGCCGCCGCATTTCGGATTTCACCACCAGCTGCAGCTTCGACTCGGCGGTCACAATAAGCTTCGACGGCACGCCGGTGATCTGCTCAAGCGCCTTCAATCCCTGCCCCGACTGCCCCAATTTTCTAGCCGACCTTCTCCAGCCGAACCACAGAGACGCCGCGAGCGAGATCCGAGCGGGAAGCGCCGCCATGCGACCCGCGGCCAAGCAAATCTGGAACGCCGCACGCGCTTTCCGCGCCACCTCCTGCCTCTCCTCCCCGCCAATTCCAAGCCTCGCGCACCATTTGACCAAAACGCCCTCCGCCTCTGACCTCACCTTCCTCAACGGCTTCCCCCGATTTCTCCTCTCCGGCCGGGCGAAACCCTCGACGGAGCTCGCCTCGTTCCGGCAACTAGAACCCTCGTTGGTCGCCGAAGACGACGAAAGCGCGTCATCGAGACCGTCGTCTCCCGGCGGGGAAGCCGAGCAGGAATTGCAGAACCCCGAAACCCGATCCCCGCCGGAGACGCGATTCTCGGTGACGGATCTACAATTGCAGCAGACCGCGAACCGAATGTGGCGGGCGACGAGGGAATTCGCGCCGTGGACCTCACCGTCGCAACTCCAGCACAGAAACGCCGAATCGGACGGGCAGCAGACGGCGGCCTCTCCTCCGCAAAGCTCACAGCCTCTATCCATTTTACAGAGCATATACCAGGTATGAATTATGATATCTCTACGGTCGGTTAAGTGTGTGGATAAAGAGGATAACCAAAGAAGAGGAGTAAATAAATAGTGGAACTGTGGAAAGGAAGTCAAGATTTAGAAGCAAACAAAAGAACAGAGAACAAAGATATTATTTGTGACTTTGAATGTTTCCAAAGATATGAATTGGGAGTAATGTAGTATACCTTATTTGGACCATTGAATAGAATATATAAATGGGGGCAAGAAAGTTTTTGATCATACGATTTAGAGAGGAAGACCACACAATAGAGAATGGTTTGTAGGGAGGCGGAGAAGCCAAGTCCACTGAAGAAGCGGAGGGGATGAACATAGTTTTCGTACGGATTGGCTTAGAGTTTGCTTTGGTTGAGGGAAGGGAGATCACAAATTTGGGAGTGGTGATGTGTCGATTTGTGTTCCTAAGTGAGGCCCCGTTGCATACAACCATACAAGTGTGTCCCACGATGATACGGTTGACATTGCCTCCTTTTTTTTAAAGCGAATAGTTGGACAATGTGTCAAGGAACAATTATTAATAGTACTTGCAAAAACGATAGAAATAAAACAATAAAAAGGCAAAGCTTGCGTGCCACAACTGATAGATACACGTGTCATGCCACAAGGTGCAATTTTCGGGTTCGAATCTCAACAACTATGATGAAATATTACTATGTAAGAATGAATAGAGTCGTTGCAAGTATTTAGGTCAGAGTCCATTCTTATTTGACAGCTTATGATTATAGTTTAATTTATACTTCGTATTCCCTAATTAACTGTTTGGCTGGTGCAGAGAGTCTGCAGGGATGGAGCACTGTCCTTTTTTATAAAGGCAAGACTTTCGGTACTTACATTTTATAGAGTAAAAAGTACATGAACTTGGATTACATTTCATAAAATACTTCAACTTATCTCCGGTGGAATAAAGAGTACACTAACTTGCAAGAGAGTTATGAAAGTATTTCAACTTATTTTCACAATGAAATTATGGTACAACTCGTCAAATATAAATGAACAACTTAGGGAAATGATTTAATGATTTCTTAACTTTTAGTTTAAACTAGTTCAAAATTTAATATGCTAAAAAATACGGGATGATTTCTAAAACTAATTGTTTGTTTTTAAAACGTGTTTAACATTGGTAATATTTCAATTGAATATATATAAAAATATTGTAAAATTAGTGTAGGGGTATTTGGCCTAATACTTCTGTTGATAAATGAATCCAGAAGCCTATTAAAGACCCGGAATCGTCCGGCGCAATTTTCATGGCGTGTGCTGCCCGACACGAGACCCCTGAGAGAATCATCTAGGATACCGTGGACGGGCTGTCCCTAGTCCCTACCCCAAAACAATTGGCGGGAAAGCAAGTATTTGGCAGGAAGTGCATTTAATTCATTAGATATGAATGAAAGATTTTATGGTTGGAGGCTAACCACTCAAATCGTCACGTCACCACCACTATCTACCTCATTATAGTATAAATAGTACTCCCTCCGTCCCGTTATGATTGTCCCATTTTACCATTTCGGCCCGTCCCATTAAGATTGTCACATACCTTATTTGGTAAAGTTTGTGTGGTTCTAAATTATTTCTACTTTATTTTTACTTTATCAATTCAATATCAACCACATAAACTCACTTTTATTAATAACCGTGCCACCTTCTCTTGTCTCAAACTTAGAGGGACGGAGGTAGTAACATTTATTTCATTATAAATGATTGATAACTTGTACAGAGTATTCAATAACTTTAGCTTCTCTCTACTTCTTCTGTACTCTCACAGTTTAAAATAGAGGCTTGAAGTTCGTCTCGGTTAGGTTGTGCTTTAATTGTTCTAAGTCATCAATAAAACTTGGCTCAGCTTACCTTCTACGTAGTATTTCTTTTCTTGTTTGTTGGGGCTTATTCTTAGTCTTGGGCCCTTAGCTTCTCTAGGCTGGATTGTGGGCCGAAGCCCAGTATCCCCAAGACAAGTCCCCCACTTCCGATGTATCAAACGGCCAGATTCCCTCCCACAAAGGGAGGGGGGGGGGGGGGGCATAACTCCCACACTTGGAGAATCCCGCTGGGATAAATCTGTTCTTTGCCCTCCCACAACATTTCCCCTACATAGCATATATGGCCACCGGGCTATTGAGGAGGAGTTAAGGAGGAAAGCTGATGAAGCCGGCCCAGCCGCAATTCAGGTCTGCCGGGGCAGTGAAGCTTTCCGGGAGGAGGTAGAGCAAATAATCTCCAGACAACGGGCTGAAATTGCCCTTCTTTTCTTGCCTTGCACCATAATCACCAAACTAACCATTAACACACACCCAATCCATTAACATCCAACGAAAGGTCAAAGGAATGTGTTGGACACTTGGACGAATAAACCTCAACAACTAAAAATCAAGAAAAGCTTGATAAAATTAGTAGTTAAATAAGCAAATGTGTTTTAATTGTAAATTTTAAGTGTTATATTTATAGGAACTTTGGGAATACTAATTTATTTCTGTTTTATTATAATACAATGTGATTTTAGTACATCAACTTCGTTTGCCACGCAGACTTAGCATTCACCACTCGCCAGAGCCGCAGAGCTCATAACATTTGTACATATCGTTGTTAGCTTGAGTTCAATTTAGCTAAGTATCATAAATCATAATCAGTGCACAAACTAAGTTGGAGTATTTTCTTAACTCTGCTGTAAATTAATGTGTTCTTTACTCGTTAAAACAAATTGTAGTAGTTTATGAACTTCAATATAATTTGGTGTACCTTATCCTCCTTAATATTTACAATTGAAACACATTTACTTATTTGACTAATAGTTTTGTCAAATGTTTCATAATTCCTAATTTTACAGTAGTTTAACATGTGTTCAACTGAAATATTGCAAATGTTAAACACAATTTTTAAAATAAACAATTCATATTATAAAACATCTCATATTTTTTAATCTTTTCATTATTATTTTTTCCCACACAGCTAATAAGCAGAGAAAACTAGCAATACAAAAATCAGCATTTTAATTGATAGAATCTGAAAAGCAAACACTAACAAAGTATAGGAAGTTAATAACACTCAAAAACCAATCAAATTCTTTGAATGAAGAAACAACTTCAACATCGTAAATAATTGATCATGTAGATTCATGAAAACAACGGAGATGATCTAGCATTCTAGATTGTGTAAGAAGAAACAATCGTAAATTCTTTATGGGCTCTGTTGCATGTTAGTGTAGTTGTCATCACCGGGGACAAAGTTGAACTACTTTATGAGCTCAATACAAGTTCATTTGTTTTACTCTACCAAAGACAAAATTAAGCTCCAAATTGACACTTTACTCGACAAAAACGAGACTAATTAAAATTGAACGAAAAAATGTCCTCATATATTTAAGGCTAAAGGGTCAAATTGGTACATGAACTAACCTAAAATGTTCAATTAGCCCCTTATATAGGAGGTTCTGTCCGGCCGTCGCCAATTGGGGCGGTTCCCGGTGGAATTTTTTGATGAATTTTTTTTAGAATCTTCTTCAATAAGTCTAGTTTACCCATACCAAATTTCAACTAAAAATTCTATCGGCAAGACAGCCAAATGATTTTTTGAAGATAACTGCGCAGTTAAGCAGCACAATACATTTCGGAAAATCATTTGACTACCTTCCCGGTTGAATTTTTAGCAGAAATTTGGTATGGCTAAACTAGACTTAATGAAGAAGATGCTCAAAAAAATTCATCAAAAAATTCGACCGGGAACCGCCTCAATTGGCGATGGCCGGACAGAACCTCCTATATAAGAGGCTAATTGAACACTTTAAGTTAGTTCATGTACCTATTTGACCCTTTAGCCTATATTTAAATACTACTCCGTATAAATTCTCGTGAATCTACTCCTTTCCTTTCCCCTTCCGTACTTTCCATTTTAATCAAACAATTATAGTGAGAATATAACGAGTAGTACGTACTACATAATCCATTACAAAATTCAATCTGAAGACATGCCAAGAGATGCCTTCAAGAGTTCGGTCAAAACTGGCATTGCAACATTACAAAATTCAATCTGAAGACATGCCAAGAGATGCCTTCAAGAGTTTGGTCAAAACTCGCATTGCAATGAACAACTTAATTGAAAACATATCAGAGAACACACATTGAATATAATTTCAAATACTAATGAAATAACTACTTAATTGAAAATGCATCAGAGAACACATAACAAATATAATTTCAAATACTAATCAAATAACTAAAGCGCGAAACTATGCAATATGAAATTGATGGATTATGGAGCCGGTAGTAAAATACTACAAGGATGTTGGAGCAATTCTATAATAAGAAAATTGTGTATTAGTTTTGATAGAATAAATAATATATCAAAATTGGGATTCCATTATGAAGGGGGTGCTAATTTTAGACAAAATAGAAAGTTTGGGCCATATTCCCTTGAAAAAAGTGAAAGGAGAATGACAAATGATCATACTAAACTTGCAAGCATACAAGTGACAGATGCTGTCATGCCCCGAATTGCGTCACTCCCATGTAAATATCAGTCGTACAACCCAACAAGGATAACCAGAGTCGTCCTTATTAAATTGTACAAAGCGTCCGAAATATTTACACACCAATCCAATTAGTAAACACATATAAGCAACATTAATATTAGAGTCAAACATAGTGCGGAATACAACTGGTTGATAACAAGCTATACAATGCAATCATGAGTACGCAGGCTCCAAAATGTTTACAAAACATAGTTTAGAAATATACATGATTTTTTACATAATTTGAAAATAGAACAAGTAACATGAACCACGTCTTTCTTTTTGAACGACCACCCAATGCAAAGGTGCAGGTACAAAACTATAGTCTTAACCTGTAAAATAGTGAATGTCCCCGAAGGGGTCAGTACTCCTCAAAAAGAAATATTGGTGACATGCAAGCTATATGGTTGATAACTACCGTTTCAAGTATATATAACACCCAAATATAGTTGAAACATGTACATATAAGGGCATAGTCTACATTACCCCCAACCAAAAAGTAATACCCATAGTATATACTATACACTTATAAAATATCTACCCCGCGAGTCTTTTGTTTATCGATTTGATCTGAAACATATAAGGAGGTAAATCCTAAGACTTTACACCTTTGTCTATCTCATATACCCAAAGTATCTAGCCCGCACATACGGTGTTTCCTATACCATAGCTAGTGAGCGTACAGGACCTAACTCGGTCCTAGTCTCCCGCCCACCCCATAAATGTGTATGAGTGGATACTCCTCCGAGTCACCTACCCATCTTGTGAGTACATAAGAGTCGTTACTACTCTAGGTCACTTGTGCATATATCCTATGAGTGGTAATTTAAGCTTTCCTACTTATGGGTTTCCCATCCAAACCATAAGAGTTGAATTTGGCTTTCTAGGTCCTGGGTTTCCCACCCACCCATAAGGTTGAATTTGGCTTTCC